ATAGACAACAAAGAGAAGAAGCTAAAGAAATTCTTCTAAACAACCACCAAATCTTTGCTAAAAATATTTCTGAAGAAAGACAAACTTTGAAACTAGGACAAACCAAAGAAGTTAGCTATGAAATTAATACTCCTGGTACTAAACCAATTAAACAATGAGCATACAGAGCATTACCAGATGATTTAGAGTTCTAGAAAAAGAAATTAAAAAATGGAAAAATGTGTAATTATTCAAGAATCAAACAGCCCATGGTTCTCACCAGTAGTTATTGTATCCAAAAAGAATAAAAAACATCAAATTTGTATCGACTACCGAAAGTTAAATGCAGTAACAACAAAAGATGTATATCCTCTTTCTGATATTAATGAAATTCTATCTGTCTTTGAAGGAGCTCAATGGTTTACAAGCTTGGATCTGGCCAGTGAATATTGGCAAGTTGCTGTACAAGTAAAAAATAAAAAGAAAACAGCTTTATTACTTGGCATGAAACATATGAGTTTAATGTTATGCCTTTTGGTTTGTGCAATATACCAGCTACCTTTTAACGTCTAATAGATAAAATTTTATGTCTTTTTATTAATAAGTTCTTAGTTGTATATTTAGATGATATTACCATTTACTCAAAAATATTCAAAGAACATTGTTCTCACTTACAACTAGTTTTCAATAAGCTTGCAGAAGCTAACCTCAAATTAAACATTGAGAAATGTTCTTTCTTTTTAAATAAACTTAAATTTCTAGGATATATTATAGGAAAAGATAGAGTAAAACCTAATGAAGAAAAGATTGAAAAGGTTAAAAACTTTTCAACACCTACTACTGTTCATCAAATTAAAAGTTTTCTTGGACTAGCTTCATACTATAAAAAATTTATAAAAGAATTTTCTATAATTGCCAAATCTTTGAATATTCTGCTACAAAAAGACCAACCATATCATTGGGAGAAAAACAAGAAAAAGCCTTCCAAACCTTAAAAAAATGCCTTATTACTGTACCGATCTTACAATATCCTAACTTTAATAAACTATTCTATATTTATACTAATGCTTCACAAACTGGTCTTGGAGCTGTATTAGCTCAACTTGATGAAAATAAAAGAGAGCATGTAATCGTATATGCTAGTAGAAGCCTCTCAAGAGCAGAACAAAACTACTTTGCTACAGAATTAAAATGCCTTGCTGTTGTATGGGCAGTTAAACATTTCTATCAATACATAGAAAGAAACTACTTCTACCTAATAACTGACCATGCTGCCTTGAAATAGTTAAAAACTACCAAACTAGTAGAAAAAAGAGCAAGATAGATTATGTGACTAGAACCTTACAATTTTACAATAATCCATAGAGCAGAAAGAAAACACAATAATGCTGATTTCTTATCTAGGATATATGAAAAAGACCACTTTTAGATAAAGAAACAGAAGCTAATCTACTTGATTTACCAACCGAACAAGAAGCTTTAGAAGCTGCATTAACAGTAAGTTCTATTATCCTTGATGATGAAGTTGAAATCTTTTATCTAGGACATGAAGAAGACTCTAGTACTGAAGAAAGTTTTTATGATACTTATGAAACTTTCTCTCAAGAAGCTGACTTCTACTTAGAAAACCCATAGAGTAATGTTATGTTTAACTCTGAAGTAATAAATATTGCTAATAAGTCTGAATCTCAGAAAGGAGCCCAAACTAAAAAGATCTAGAAATTGTAAAAAAACCTTAGAAGATAACCTTTCTCCTAATATAACTAGTGGACTCCCTTTATACAACCACATGGTATTTTCTCATAAAGGAATCCAATATGATTGACAATTTTGTACCTGATATTACATTAAATATATAAGCAAATGAGTCAATACCAAAAATAAGAAAGGTCTTGCTAAAGATTGGAAAGGCCCATGTGCTCAATGTTGGTGTGGATTTAAACTCTACAGTCTAGAAGATGAATGTATCTAATGCTATCTTGAATTAAAATTGTAGAATACAATTAAACAATATCCTATCGAAGTTATTGGCTTAAGTTATTGGAGTACACCTAACGATGAATGGGATGACCAACCTATTCAATCTCAAGAAACTAGTGATAATACCTATCAAGAAACACAAGAAAAATCCTATTCTCAATTTGATCAATTTTCTAAAATTATATTCAAGTGAATAATTATGTTATTCAAAACAACTATTATGTCTTAAACAATATTCCATAGTGGCTTTCTTCATTAGAAACACCTACTCAATGACAACTACAAGAACATAATAACCTTTTACCTACCTATCTTTGTAATTCTGTGTAGTGGACAACACCTGAATCCAACATCTAATACACAAAATATATCAAACTAGTGGAAACCCGACAATAATATCAATTCAGTTTAGGTCATCAGTATCCTAGCAAAAATACAACAAAAATGGAACCTGAATATTATCAAAATATTAAAACTTATCTTGAG